GATGACTCGATTGTTTGCAAATAGGGTTCGCGCGAAGAACAGGAGGACCTGTTGTCGGAGTCGACGACACTATATGTGGGAAACCTATCGTTTTATACGCGCGAAGAGCAGATCTACGAGTTGTTTGGAAAATGTGGTCAAATCGTACGCGTGATAATGGGTTTGGATCGTCGGTCTAAGACTCCGTGCGGTTTCTGTTTCGTGGAGTACTTGTCCAGAGAGGACGGACTCAATGCCATGCGTTATGTGAACGGCACGCGACTCGACGACCGCATTGTCCGCACCGATTGGGACACGGGTTTCATTGAGGGCCGACAGTACGGGCGCGGCAAGAGTGGCGGTCAAGTCCGCGACGAGTATAGGACTGATTACGACGACGGCAGGGGAGGGTTCGGCAAAATCATGTCCTTCAAGATGGGCGGACCCACCCCTTGAATGCACACATATTTTATAAATTGTTTATAAATCATAATAAATGTCATTTCATTTCATATTGAATTGCAAAATGTATTACACATTACTGTAAACAACTAACCGGTATTTACTCATAATTTCAATGTTGACTGTAAACTATGGGGCAGTTCACTCAATGCCGGTCGTTTGCTGTCAACTATAATTAACTAACAATACTACTAGAATATAACATAGTTTGCAAAATACTAAATGTGTACAACGAGGGCACCTATTTGTTGATTTAATTAATCATTTAATCAATACGGTGTAGCATATTGTGAGGACCCGAATGACTGCAAACAACAAAGTTGTGCTCAAATATTTAGTCCGACGCCAACTGATCTATGTATTAGAAAGTGGTATTTCACATGCTTTAAGGCCATTCTTCATAATCATAATGTTATATTTAATTATATATGCGAATGACAGAATTTGTTAACAACCATTCGCATTTTAGTTTGGCATCATATTTATTTATCATACAGCATTCTGTATGTCTAGTTGCAGACCCATTGGCATCAATTTTTGAATATTACAGTTATTTAATAATAATTCTATAATATATTTATGGAATTATTTGTAGTTATAGTAGAATTATACGTTACTATGTATATTAGTGTATAAACTAACGTAATATGATGAAGGTTGTTGAGGAATGGGCAGGGCAATTTGAAAGGTTTCACATGTTTTGGTACTTTTCAATTATTAGAAGCAATGGTTGGCAAAGGTATGCATTTGTGAGAAAAGGTGCGAAAGTAGTGTTCATTGAAAATACAGGTAAAGAGAGAATTATGATAGCATTACTATAATATGCAGTGGAGTTGTATTCATTGAAAAATACCTGTAATTTGTATAACGAATGCCTTAACTGTTAGTCAGTATTGGGCGAACACTTGATTGCATTTTTTCATTTATTTATTTGTCATTATTTTGATTATCATTTGTAACCAAATTTACAAAATTTATTATTTTGTTTATAATTTTTATTGAGAATTTAATTAAAATTCTGTTTACAATTGAAATGAATTATATATTTAACAAATGAGAAGTGAATCTAATAAAAACAATGTATTAAAATAGGCGTTGTTTTATCAATTAGTTTACTTTATATTTAATTACAATAATATTACTTTTAATCCAAATGTCATTACAATTTGTAATTTACAAAACCATAACTAATAATTATTTAATATAAATGTGTTTTTAATTCAATTAATAAGATCTGATATATAAAAATGATTGTTCACTCATTTAATTGTTTATTAATAATAATATCAATATATTTGACAAATTATGGTAATTATTGTTAAAATTATTCACTTAATAAATGTAATATTTAACTTATATTACCGCATATAAGTTATATATTATATGATTAACTGATATTATGAAATATGAAATGATATTTTTGCGCTATTACCTTCTTAATTGATAAAATCATATAATTAGCGCGCTATTAGTTTTGTATGAATTGTTACAATTGTAACTCAATTAATTTTTAAGCAATTCTTTCATTATTATTTTTATATATATTAAGTTTTATGTTTCAAACACTAATATTTTTAGTAAATTATATTTAACAAGAGCGGTAACTATTGAATAAATTTGTTAATTAAGTTTGTATTAATTGTGTGAAGCAGTGATGTGTCAGTCGTGTCCAAATGGTTGGGAAGAATTTCAATACTCGTGTTATAAGTTTACGAGAAATCCCGTGAAGAATGTGATCCAAGCGGAGGACACATGTATTCTGTATAACTCGCATCTGATTAGTGTTAATACACTGGACGAGCACTTGTTTGTGACCAATTGGCTCCGAAACAACGACCCCTTACACCGTAAATGGCATACCAGTGGTCGCGACACCGGAAATAATAACTGGAAGTGGGATTCAGACAGAAGTGACTTTACAATGATTAGCGACTTATGGCTGCCTTTCAATGAGAACAGTGTTAACCGTTTTGATTGGACTCTCAATACGGGCAAACACTCCGCTTATAAGTCTGTTTTAAACCCACAATTTGTATATAATATTTATTTGTTATAATCTTTAATTGTGTAATAGTTTCTCACAAACGGCCAGTCGTTGGGGTCTGATTCGTGTGACTGAAAACCAAGAATTGCCTTATATTTGTGAAATCAAGAAAGAAGATCTCGCAAATGCTGTCATTTCCGAGCGAGAGATTGGTTTGTATTTGGTTTTACATTGACTTTACTATAATTTACAATTTATATATTGTTATGAAGATTACGGCATAACAGTTGTGGACAAGCGTCAAGTGCCGCGCGGACCCATCTTTACACAAGAACCTAAAAATGCTGTTTTCGATCTGAGCGGTGAGTGATTGACGACTTGTGATCCGGTTTAACGACTTGTAGTTAATAATTGGTATTGAAATGGAAACATTAGGTCGAAGTCAATTGAATTATGTGTCCATCAGATGTGTGGCCGATGGCTATCCGACGCCAATATATAAATGGTATAAAGAAGAGTATGTCAACAATCGACTTACGTCTCGATATATTGACCCGCTTTCCGACAATCGGATTACGCAAACGGACGGAACGTTGACTATCTATAACCCGCAACAAACAAATGACCGTGGCAAATACCATTGTACAGCCGAGAATCGGTTTGGTATTATTATTAGCCAAACCGTTCAATTGAGCTTTGGATGTGAGACTCATTTTTATTATTTTATAGTAAATCACATTTCTTTGGTTTATGTTTTGCATATTTTCTCAGATATCGGAGAGTTTACTAAAAAGCGTTCACCAGATTATGGCAAAGAATATTGGGGTAAATCAATATCATGTGATCCGCCCCAACATCACCCACGAGTCAATTACTATTGGACTCGCAATTCATTTCCCAACTTTGTTGAAGAGGACAGACGAGTGTTTGTCTCACACGACGGCAATCTCTACTTCTCATCACTTGAGAAGATTGATAGAGCGAACTATTCTTGTAATGTCCAGTCAGTCATATCAAGCACTGGTCGAACGGGACCTTTCTTTCCACTTATTGTGGATCCGGCCTCCAGTGGCCAGAAGTTGTTGTTTCCCAATAACTTTCCAAAAGCCTTTCCTGAGGCCCCCTTAGCTGGTGATGACGTACGGCTAGAATGTATGGCATATGGATATCCTGTGCCATCATATAACTGGAGTCGCTCTGGTGTGACAAATCGATTGCCCGAAAACGCGTACACAACTAATCACAATCGGGTCTTAATTCTGCCCAAAGTACAGGTCGAGGATATGGGAGACTATGTTTGCACTGTTAATAGTGGTCGGGATGTCATTCAAAAGAAAGTTATGCTAAGCATTCAATGTAAGACCACTTGATTTAACAGTTGTTTCAAATTGTTATATACAAACAAATGTCTTTTTATAGCACTTCCTGTGTTTACCATCAAATTGGGAAATAAAGTGATAGAAAGGGGTGCCGTTCGCCCTCTTATCTGGACGTGTGAAGCATTCGGAATACCGGAAGTGTTTTATCAATGGTATAAAAACGGAGAAGAACTAAAGGACCGGTCTTTAATGGACAATTCGTTGTCACCTGAAGACAGACAGCGATATATAGTTAATCAAAATATATTAACAATTGATGGACTCATACCCGATAGAGATGAAGGCATGTATCAGTGCCGGGCGTCCAACCAATTGGGAAGTGCTTTCTCGAGCGGGCAGTTGAGGATCATATCAATGGCGCCTTCATTTAGAAAACATCCGCTCGATATCGAAACATATGCTTCAGAGGGCGGAAACATTACCATTCCTTGTGTTCCCGAAGCCATACCCTTTCCCACATTCGAGTGGCAAAAAGAAGGTATTTAAGGACATCTAATCCATTCATTTTGAGCTTATGTTATATTAACTTTACTCCTCATTAATTAATGCCTCAAAAATTAGAAAATTCAGGAATTGATAGTAAGGCATAAGGATTTGATTTAATCGACAAATTGTATTAAAATATTGCGAATAAAGTATTAATAAAAAGTTTGAACCATTGTTTAGGCTCTCGAATCGGCGGTTCTGTGGGCAGAATCCGGATTCTGCCGAATGGCTTCCTATCCGTAAATCCGGTCCAGATTTCAGACGAAGGCCTTTACACGTGTGTCGCTCGCAATGACTTGGGTTTTGACAGATCTCAAGGATATCTGCGTGTGTTTAATCGTCCGCGCATTTACGACGGACCCGCAGTTTCCTATGAACGACGTGTCAATGAGACCCTCGAAATGCCCTGCAGTGCCTTCACTGACGCCGCTTTAGATGTCGCTTACATTTGGAGACACAACGGCTTGAGAATCAACTTCACTAAAACACCACAATTTTCTGAAGGTATTTGTTTCGTGCAAATGCAAAAGCATTGCAAATTGCAAATGACATATTAATGATTGCATATTTTTTAAGGCTCTTATCCAGGATTTCTTCGTCTCAATAACATAACACTGTCTGAAGCCGGGGATTATGTCTGTGAAGTAAAGACATCGGTTGGCAAAAATACGGCCAAAACTATACTTCAGGTTTCGGGTCCCCCGAGCGCTCCCGGAGCCGTTTTGGCCGAAGATCTCACCTCTACTTCAGCTAAAATTCATTGGAGCGATGGTTCAGATAACGGGCGCCGGGTTTGGGCTTATATGATAGAAGGGAGGACTAATCATAACCCAAATTGGGTGCCAATTGTCAATATATCCGATTATCAGAACCAGTATTTGACAAATAAAGAAAACGGAAGAAAAGTGACTAACATTCGCGATGTTCTCTCGCCCTGGAGTTCGTACGAGTTTAGAGTTTCGGCAATTAATGACATTGGTTTAGGTCCTCCTTCTGGTCAGTTATCGCGATTGCCAACACTTTACCCATCATTTAGTTTATCTATTATTTTAATTTGCCTTTAAATGTGTTATAAATTTAGATCCGAGTCCTCAGTACAATACAGACAAGTCGTTTCCATTCAAAGCGCCGTCTAATGTTGGCGGAGGAGGGGGTAAAGCCGGAACACTTACCATCACTTGGGATCCGTTACCACCACAAGATTGGAACGCACCAGAAATATGGTACCAAATATATTATAGGTTTGTTTACTATTCTCATACCATTACACAGAAGAATAAGTTTAATATTACTTTTATCGATAATAATAAATATATTGGATTTTATTAGAGCTGAGGAATTGCGAGAAAGCGATCCCTATATCGCTAAAAATTTAACGTCTTTGGGAAACACTAATATGTATGCCGTGAGTGTTGGCGAAGATAACTATTTTAAGCGCTATTCAGTGCGGGTTCAGGCCATGAACTCGATGGGCGCCGGACGAGTGATCAGTGATCCGATGACCGTATACTCAGCTGAGAGTATGCCTCACGTGGCGCCCAATCAAGTCTATGCCGTGGCCTACAACTCGACTTCACTGAACATTACTTGGGCACCACTCGAGATGACTCGTGAGAAAATCAGGGGCAGACTTATTGGCCATCGAATTAAGTATTGGCCCAATAATAAGGACCAAATGTTAGACTCGTTAACATTGCTTAATAGAGGACTCGATCCATGGGGTCTGATTGTAGCCTTAGTTCCCGATACAGAGTATTACATATCAGTTATGGCTTATAACGACGCCGGCAGTGGACCGGAAAGTGAGCCGTTTTTGGCCCGAACTTATAAGGCGGCGCCTCAACGACAGCCAACTAGTGTTAACATTACGGCTCTAGACTCGCACTCAGTAATGGTCACGTGGAGAGGCATTACCACTCTGACCAACGCTGAAGAACCTATCATAGGCTACAAAGTGCGGTACTGGGAGTCGGATCAACCCATTTCCAGTGCCAGAGAGGTCTACAAGTATTTAGACGGAGGAGAACTCAAGTCTATTATATCCGATTTAGTTCCCGGAAAAGTCTACAAATTGAGAGTTTTAGCGTTTAGTAGTGGAGGAGACGGCAAAATGAGTACTCAGGTATGCATTCATATTAACCATAGTTCTAATAATTAATGACTAAATTATTGATTATTTCAATTCAGTGGGAATTTAAAGTAGGGGAAGGCGTTCCCTCCCGTCTCACATCATCAGCACTGTATTCAATGTCTACGAGTTTAACGCAATTGATTATAACAATGTTCACACTAATCATATTGATTACTAATTCATAGATAAACACAATTTTATACAATTTATACATTTGTTTAATTTTTGAACACATTTATCGCTATATGAATCACATTTATATAAACATGTCTTATAAACTGTTTTTACACACAATTTATTTTAAAAGTATAATGAAATGGTGATAAAAATCTCATTTTATATTTGACTGAAATAAGAGAATATCATTGAAAGTGAATGATAAGTGCCTAAAGACGAAAGGAATATTCTGTATAATAATTGTCATGTATTTACATATAGATAAACACAATTTTATACAATTTATACATTTGTTTAATTTTTGAACACATTTATCGCTATATGAATCACATTTATATAAACATGTCTTATAAACTGTTTTTACACACAATTTATTTTAAAAGTAACGTCTTCCGTCGACTATAGTTGCAGTGCAATTATATCTAGATCTCTAAGTCGGGGGGCAATTATATTCGGATATAGTTGCCCCTGGTTAGCACTTTTGTGATTTAGCTTAAATCTAGGTATAATTGCATGCAATTATAGTCGACGGAAGACGTTATAATGAAATGGTGATAAAAATCTCATTTTATATTTGACTGAAATAAGAGAATATCATTGAAAGTGAATGATAAGTGCCTAAAGACGAAAGGAATATTCTGTATAATAATTGTCATGTATTTACATATATAATGAAATGGTGATAAAAATCTCATTTTATATTTGACTGAAATAAGAGAATATCATTGAAAGTGAATGATAAGTGCCTAAAGACGAAAGGAATATTCTGTATAATAATTGTCATGTATTTACATATAATGAAAATGCAATTATCATATACTGTATACTGTAATAATCGATACTTTGAACTGACTTTCAAACTGTCCGTCCAATTAAGTGATGTTTTATAACACAAATATTTGTCGTAAAAGACAATACATTCCATATTATTATAATTTATAAAATAATTTTTAATAAATCAAAACAATTCGGAATTCCGTGAAATTTAAGTGTATTTTTTATTTAAACGTTTAGTTTTTGTCAAAATTGAAATTAAAAAATAATAATTTAAGTCATAATCAAAATGAATGCAACATTTAGTAAAATACTAATAATACCAGATGTTTGGTATAAACTTAATATTATATTGGATTTATAGTATAATTAATAAAACTATTAAATGCGGGAAATATTAATTTTGCGATCAATACATCTAAACATTAATTACAATCAGTATTCAATAATAACAACTATACGTGAAATACAATTGTTTATCGCCTGAAATGTTTTGAGAAAAATTATAAATATAAGTCAATAGATGTTAAAGAGCTAATGACAAGAAATTATAATTTATTATATTTATAGTGTTTTACAATTAATTACATAAGTGTTAGGAATTGATTGCTTAAATGTTGCACAACTCAATCAATTGAAACTGTTTTACACAGTATTTCAAATGAGTGACACAAACCCAAAAACATGCTCTAAATTAGCAAAAACTTATCAATACGTTTGACACAAAAATAACCACAAAATCATACTTCTTGTGCCTTCGAAAGCATTTTCCACTTATTTATGAAAACCATTATTGAATATCAGATAAATGATAAGTGAATGAATTTTATGACAAATATATATATATACTGTATATTGAAGTGTTTGACAAATATCTCAAATAAAAAACTGTTGATTAGTTTGTAATATAATAAAGGAAACGAGGAATCACTAAAAGTAATGACCGGAACTTAGAGTTATATAAAGTGAAAGAATTGAACGATAGAATAATAGAATAGTACAGAATCTAACAATTTGTCCACAAAAGAGATATTGTCATCAAATGGTTTGTTCTATCGGTTTGATTGGCCATTGATTTCAATACAATTAGTTTGATGTGTGTTTGAATTGACATTTAAATGAATAGAATTGTTGGTCTCATTACCATAACTGTCATCATCGGTGACACCAGTGACTGAAGTGTTGTCATTAAGTTTAGCCACTTTAACAGATGGCGGTTTGTAGTCGTCATCAATGGCTGAATGATCATCACTCGCATCACTCGCAGTCAAACAAGACGTCCTCTTATTTACAAATTCATTATTCACAGATAAGTAGTTATTATTATTATTCGTGTGATTACTACTATTATGAACCAAATTGTGTTCAACTATTGGCTCACTATAATTGGTTTCAACTGTATTTGTTAGAGTCGTTTCTGTGCTGTTGACCACACTATCATCGATGGACTGGTCGTTGCCGTTGCTGTCATTCATGTCCACATCTGTGCAGTTGTTTTCAACCACAACTTCATTGAGATTATCACTGGTATTAAGCGTTCGCTCAATAGTTGTCTTATTTATAACATTGTGATCATTGGAGTCCAAAGAGTTGTTTTGTTGAACACATTGGCGAACATTGAGTTGATTTTGTGGAACAGTTTGGTTCGACTCATACTTCAACAGCTTTTCCTTTGTTTCTTTGAGCTGTTGTTGTAAATAATAAATAGTGTTTTGCATTCCCTCCACGTCTTCGTCCAACTCGAGTAGGAATTCATCGATTTCTGTGACATTCAATCAATTGAGTTAAACAAATGGATCAAATAGTCATACAAAGAGTGCGTCATCTCTAACCCGATTGACTCTTCTTCAGCTCCTCTGAGAAGCTCTTTTGGAGCGCGAGTTCGCCTTCAAGTTTGGCAATACGTCCGGAAGCGATCATTTTGCCCAACTCTTCGTTCTCCTGGTAGAGGAGCCGACACTTAGCCATCAGTCGCTTACCAGTTGTGCTGTCATCGCATCAATTCATGGCATTAATCACAATAACGTCAATACCGTAACAAAGAGTGAATACCTGTCGGGAGTGAACTTCCAAGCGTTCAATTCGTTCTGCATTTCGTCCACTTTAGCGCGAGAAGAGTCCACTTCTCTCTTCATTTTGTCAAACATGAGATTAATGGCCGGATCTATGAGTACACTCTGGAGCTGACCCGTGGACGGCACCTGCGATTGCTTCAGCTCTTGGATCTGATTCTGTATGGAATGAAATGAGTGTCAAATGGTATGCAATCATATGTTTGTGAGGAAGGGATGCAAGTGATGGTCAAATACCAGATATTCTTGCATTTCTTGCTCTTTGGTGGTGAGTCTCATGACGAGGACGTTCTCCCGTCGGTTGGCCTCCAACTGCTGTTGTTTCAGCTTTTCCTCCGACTCTCGCAATGAAATCAAATCACTTTTATCTCTATTTAATTGTTTGAGTTGTGATTCAATGTAATCAATATATAACTGTTGTTGAGTCCAGTGATGGACGAACTGTTGTGGTGTCAAAGAGCTGACGGTCTGGTCGTCCAACTCAGCGGGTCTCACATGAGCGCCAGTTGTGGTCCATTTCGCATATGACATACACTTCACGTATGACTTGTCGTTGCATTGATTGTCACTCAAAACATCACTCTTTTGTCGGTCACTGTTATGACTGTTCACATCGAGTGCTGGTTGTGGTGAAGAGTGGGTGGAAGTGTTGGAAGTGATGGGTGACAACACGTGACTCTCATTTGTTGATGCATTCAATTCATCGCTGTTTAACACATTGTCTCCCAATTTGTCACTTATTTGCAAACCAGAAGTCATTACAGAATCAGTCATTAAATCCAGTCTTCACTTCACTCGGGATCTGATTCTCGTATAACTCAGTCTTCACTCCTTTAAAGCGCTTAATAATAATCAACTGATTGTTAATGAAATACAATTCAATTGTAATTCAATTCATTTGACACACATTTCTATGAAATCTGTTTTTGTTTTCAAAACTCCATATTTAGTGCAAACTCTCAGCACTTGATTCACTCTCACTCTCTCTCCCTCTCTCTCACTCTCTGTCAACACTTGCCCTCAAATACAGCCCAACATT